CTGAAGATGACAAAAACCAGCTCTTTAAAATACCTCAGTGAAGAACTGAAATGCATATACAACATGAAAATCCTACAGAAAATAGTTCTCCAATTATCCAAAACCAACTGTAGCTCCATCAGAACAGGGTTACAAAAAAGGACCAAATATTCCTTATAAACATTCACCATACATTTTAAAATACTGGTTTTAATGTTACTATGCTCAGCCATCCAGGGTCAGTCAGCAGAGTTGCACAAGTATGCTTTGATTATTTTTATGGTTCATAAATCAGTCACTGACCAATTTGCAGTTGTAGTTTGTTAGAGATAATTGCAGAAGGAACAGCTTGACTTTTAGAACCAATTAGGCAATCACAATACACAGATCCACTTCTTCCTTTATTTTTTAAAAATCAATCACCCAAGATAATTTTATAGCAAAGTGAAAACAAGCATTTGAGAGAAAGCTGATGAATACTAGGGAGGCTTATCTTAACCAGGCAGATGATACTCATGGCAAACAAGGTACAAGGAAGTGCATGTTGAGGACTAACAGGAGCTACTGAAGCACTTTTGAGCTTGAAATTGGAATTATTGAGGGGGAAGAAGCAGAGTATCAGAGCAACAACAGCATTATCTCACACTAGGTATTTAAAAGCTGGTATTGTCAGTGAAATAAAAACCTGAGAACAGAATGGAATAAAAACCACGTATTTGCTTTCCATCTGGAAAAATTCAGTTTTGAGCATCAGACCTAGAAGCAGGAGAAAAACAAGCACAGACAGTCTGAGCAGAGGCCCAAAATAACTTCAGCAGTCCTTCACTTTATGAATACTCTGTTTTAGAGAGGAAAGAAGTATGCAATAAAATTATGCAGAACATAACAGAATGGAGACTGAAAGGTAAATAACCTCCTGTTGCTAACCCATAGCTAGCTATAAAGAAGTGAAAGATTACACAAAGATCAGTTAGAAAGCACTGCATCAGTTTTTTACACAATCCATAAGCAAACTGCTACCAAAAATTATCTAAGAATTTAAGATTCAGGAGTGTTTCTATGGATAAAGAAAACATTTACAATTGCACCAACAGTGATTAAAAAAGTATATAAAGATTGTTTTAAAACATTAATCTACCAGTGATCTGTTTCAGGGTTAAAGCCCAACTTTCTTAATAACCTGATTTTAAAAGTATCTAACACAGGAATTCAGAAAGAGCACATTCTTTAGTGCCTTCACTAGTACACAAGCTGCTGTTAACAGTGGTCCATGGAAATGTGTTCAGCAGCAAGAAGTAGTAAAGTGGAAAAAAAGATAATGCTCAACACTTAGTAACTTAAAGGGAATTCAATCATGAATGAGATGACAGAGTGCAACAAAATGCTAGAAAGTAAAATTGAGTTAGCTTTTTTCCCCGCCCTTAAGAATTCTCTACACTGTTAAAACACATTTTATCACATAACTTTTAAAAAGTATTTAGGAGATTTTTTATTTCAGAAAGTTAAAAGGCATGATCCAAACGCCTCTTCAAGTTTCCACCCATTGATACTAAAGAAAGTGTTGAAAAGGTCACAGCAGTTTGTTTTGAAGGATTTTTCATGTAAGAGCTCTGCTGCCACCACAAGGATACAGAAGATGAGACAATCTAAAACTTCTGAAACTTAAGCATTCTAAAAGGTTAAGCACATAGTATGGATGCATGCAGTAGCATACAGCAGAGCTGGTTTGTGCATGTGGCTTTTGAAGTTTTGTGTTATCCCATTTGAATGGTTTTACTAATGCACTCAGAATGGCTGCATTAGTAGTGCCTGCCAATTTTTGTCGCAGAAATAACAGTACATCCCCATTCTCAAATTAAATATTTTAGCAGTGTTGTAGAGTGCTTTATTGGACAAATTTGGGTACTATTTCTCCAGAAAACCAGGCTGCCTTCATATTATTGATGAGTGGAATATGAAACACTGACTTAAGTCCACCATTAGCCAAGACCGGATACTATCCGTAGCGCTACTGTACAAATTCACACAATATTCTGCTTGTGGAGATGAGCAGGTTCTCCAAACCATGGTGTCCAAGTGTTGGAAACAAAGGATTCAGGAAGGCTGGATTAGTGGGTGCAGGTGGAATGTTAAGAGATAAAAGTAACCTGGGTCACATCTCATGGCTCTGATTTCCTACCAGTCACTCACTGTTTCATGTAATTCTGTGGTCTATAGTTAACACGTACCTACCACAATTATTAATGCACGCTGACAAATAACTTGACTGTGTGGCCATATTGTCGATAAACCAGCACAATTCCATATTTTCCATCTCAGAAGCATGTGTAGCCTGGAATCTAAGCACCTGGATGCTAATCAAGCTTCAAAACACATATGAAGGCATGCATGAAGCTTCACAGGTGACAGTCAGCCAAAGACCTGAAAGCGCCTGATAGAGCAGCCATCAGGAACCCTGACTCTGACCAAGACCCACCTTTCACATGCTTATCAGTCCTTCCAAAGAGCACACTTGGAATGGATGAAGAGTGTCTTCGACAAAGAACAGACTCAGTCCAGATGCTAGTTACCATCTAATTACAATCTGTATCCCAAGCAAAAACACTGTTTGGGGAACAGTGCTTGCGGCTTACTGACATCCCCAATGGCTACTTATGCTCAATTTTTTTTAAGCTCCTTTTGTATGAGAGGCACGGTGTAACAATGGTGTTTCTACAGAGGCACAACTTGGAAGTTAGGACCAACATGTGGTACTTACTCTTTGTGATGACACTTCAAATCACATGAAGTGACAACATGACAGGTGAGAGAACACTTAACTGAAACTGCACATTTATTTAAAATGGAGACTCTGAAGACAAAAAGTAAGGAATGAAAACTTTGCAATTTGGGGTGGTTTTTTTTTTAAAGCTATAAAATATGAGCTTGCAATTGTGGTGCTTCAGTGCCCATGGGGAAAAGAAACAAAATCCAAGGGGGATGCTGGATTTTATTTTATCTTTTTCTTTTTAAAGTTAAGCTACTATCTCCTTTTCCCTTGCTGAATCTTTCATTTCAACACCCATGGACAAAGTTCCTGCTTTTTTTTGTTTGGGGTTGTGGAGGTTTTTTTCCTCGTTAACTTATTGAAGATAAAAACACCCTAAAATGCTTCATAATATTCAGTAATTTGAGTCTCCTGGTTGTTGTGATTCCAGGATGTTTACTCTATGAAATTAATCACATGCAATTCGCAAACTGATACAAGAATAAAATGGAAGAGTAATACACATCTTCCATCATCACTGAGGATAGGAAGTTAAGTACACATAATGTCCTCAGTTATTCCCACTCATATTCTTAACATGTGGCAGTATTTTAATCTCTGTAAGAAAGTTACCATGAACAAAGCTAGGAGAGCAGATAAAAATGTATGTACATTCTTGTCCAGTTGCAATATTGGTATACTAATTTTCTAATGGCTGAAGCTTAAAACTTGTAGTCCAAAAACTTTCTCTGAGAATGAAATACAGGGACAGGAACAGAAGCAGTTAACTTAATTACCCAGTCACTGTCTTGATTTAACCTAATATGAAAACAGAAACACAAGGGCAAAACAAAATCATACCAGCTGATGAAAAAAAGAAATAGGGAAAGGGTGTTTAAGAAAACCCACAAAACAAACACACACAAATTCTACTTCACTTTCCAGAAAGTCAGATGTTCATGAAGATGAGGAAAGTCACACATCTCATTCATAGTGCCAAAAAGGAAATCAAGTATTAGATAAAACTCATTCTCAATTTGCCTTTTGAAAAGAAACAAACACCTGACGTGTATCCTTTATCTATCTAATGTAGCTAATGTTCTTTAAGAACCAATTCTGGCAGGGTTCCTAGTAAAAGCAAAAGGAAGATTATTGCTCAGTGCTCTGCAAAACTCTTCTGGCAGCAAGGTCACGTATCAGTAAATGGACAACCAACCGCTTCCCGTAGCAAGACAAGAGCAGTCACTGTGCTAAAGCGCATGTCTTTGTGACAGTCTCCCTAAGAATATTTCATATAGGAACTATGACTCTGAATTTGTTAACACTGCCCAGCTGTGGTGGGACCAACCTCTGAAGTCATTCTGCAACCACAGTGGCACAACTACCAGCAATTTTACAGGGACCAGATTTCACTTACATTTTAGTGACTCGGGTAAAATGACATGTGAGGCAAGGTTAAAGGGCAGAGGCAGTTAGTTCCCTTCTGGAGTGACTAAAACTGCCAAGAGTGCCCTGCTTTATGCAATACCTAAGTGCAGATGCGCTGCTCCCCCCTTTGAAAACTGGGAATGAAACAGAATTCAAGACGATGCAGTAACTACACTCTGATTCTGTTCCACATGGCGCTTCTCCCAAATGCAACTTGCCTTTCACTTTTCCAAGTTCCTCTACTCAGAGGAACTTGGGGGTGTGGTGGAGGGGCATGGTGTGGAGATGGACTATTGATTTATCAGGAATGTCAATACAATGGAAATTACAAGGATTATGGATTTCTGTTAGTCCTGTTCACATCATGCTCCTGTATTTGTTGCCTGGCTAAAAAAAAAAAGCAGACCACCCTTACCGAGCATGGTTTCTCAGGGTTACCTGCAGTCACAGCATTCTACAAAACCTTTCAGTCAAAGCAGTGTTTGTGCAGCTATGCTAAAACTAGCAAACATTTCTACAATCAGTTAGCACTGTACTTGTTTCAGTATTGCCACCAACACTTGTTGAAAGACAAAAAACTCAGTTGTTTCTAGAGCAAACCGCATTATCTGTCTCTTTCTAAGTCCATAAAAGTATTTAAAAAGATATAACTAGTTCGATGTATGTATCTAAAAGGAAATAGTACCTTTAATGTTCTAGTTGGAGCCCAGCCAGTGCCATCAATTGAATGTTCTCTCAATAAACTGGAAAAAAGACACACATATTATACAGTGCAACTTCTAGTTAAACAACCTTTGTTAGTAATCTCAGAAAACATTAAGAACTTAGGAAGTAATTGCAACGTAAGAATTACCTCTTGCACTATTATCTAGGTACCGGGATTTTAAAGCACAAGAATTGGTATGTCTTCCTAGAATTACATTCTGCACAGCGTCATTACAGATCTCCCGATCTGAGCTCAACCTTCGTCAAAAAAACTGACTTATTTTCATCAAGCAAAATAAGTGTGACAGAAATCCTTGTGACAGTCTCAACATTGAACCTTTATTTTCCCCTGAGCACACAGACATGTGCTCCAGTTTAGAACGTTCATCTTTGGTAAAGAGACAGGCTTGCAAAATGACCCATCTCTCACCAAACCTGGCACAATTAAATCCAAAGAAGGGTATTTTTGGTGGGATATCCCTGATTAGCAAGAAAGAGGATTGTCATCCTCTCTTCTGTGAAAGGACTTCAGCTTCTTAGAGGCAGGGATAAGAAAGTGAAATAGTTTTTGTCTGTCTGCTTAGGAAGGTTCTGCAACAGCCGTAACATAAGCAGATGCATCTCAAGCCTCTTGGGACACAGCACAGGACAGTCTAGCAGCAGGGTCTTACAGTCCTCTTCCAGCAGGTGAGCCATATTGCATGCAGAATATTTTAAGGCTTTACAGGCAAATTCAACATCATACATCCCCAGCTGGAAATCATGATGAAGACTACTCCGGGCAAGAGAGGTTGCTTACAGGAGGAAAAGTTCCTTATAAGCTATAACACATGCTCTTGAGTTTTAATATAAATACATATGAATATTAATATAAATAAGATACTGACTTTCCTATATACACACACATACTGTATAGAAATTTTATATGACCTGCATATTATGCTACATATTAAGTCCAGTGAAGCTGTTGACCTATTTACAAGTTGAAATTATTGAAGTGTATTCAGTTGGTAAAGTATTCCTGAACCTTTCAGGTCAAAACATCAGCAGTTATGAGAAGTAAAAATATTAGAGACCAGAGCATAATTGAGAAATGAGCTGAAGTCTTGCTCACATTCGTGAAAGCAAAAGTCATAATATAAATGAGAAATTCTGGAAAACTCCTTAAAGCATCATTCCACAATCGCATCTTCCTCTGTTAAGAAGTAATCTAAAACTGAAAATTCATACAGCAAAGTAGCAAAGCATGAAAATTCCACGAAACCACCACCAGCAGCTTCTACTTCTGAAATGACAGGGTTAAAGTGAAATAGTCTTAAACTATTAGGTTTTACCAACTTTCAGGATGACATATATTAAGTCATTTTTAAATTGCAGCAGATGACTGGGCCATACAGGCTATCCATATAGTTATTTATTGAATGCACTGAGTTTTTAATCCAAGGAGATATACTACAACTAGCATTACTCCTTGTTCAATGTAGAGAGGCTAGGAACAGGATGATGATACTGGACAAGACTATTCCATCTTAACTGTGCTGCTAACCTCATTTCTGTGCCTTTAAAAAGATAAAATATGCCATTACCGCTAGTGCAGTTCAAAACTAATTTCAAGAACATTAAAAATAGCATCTTGTGGCGGCAATTTTTGTTCATATTACAAAAGTAAAAGCAAAAATGCTGCTGAACAGGCAAGAGCCAGAATTTTCAGGTTTTGAGCAAATAACGGACTTTTTAACTTGCTTTCTGTCTGCTCCTCATAAAATTTTGCTATAGTACTCCCCTTTACCTCTTCAGATAGCTCACTGTGAACTTAAGAGCGAGGAATAAGTTAACACACACAAAAAAAGCATAAAGATATCCACTGATAGAACTCAAAGTGCCTGAGCATATCAGATAAGCCTTGTTAATATGCTTCCAGCTTCCCAAAGCCTCAGAGCTCTCTCTCAGCATATCTCCAGCTGTGGGCATCAGCAGCCAGGACTTGAGAGAAGACACTCATACCCCTCATAGAGCTCTGGCAGGAAACCAGTGAAGATAGATAAGTGTACCTTTGCCTCATATTTCTAATTTGCTGATATAATTCATTTTTAGAGCAGCATACTCTTCCTTCCTACAAATTGAGAATGATCATTAGGCCCCTAATCAAAACCTTTTCCCAGCACAGGGTGTCTAGAGAAACCACATCTCATGCTCTCCACAGGGATGACCTAGATATAACTGCGAGACAGTTGGGAGGTCTGAATGATCTGCTCTCAGAGCATCATACACACAAACAGCACAATGAACACCTAAATGAGTAGAAATACACAAAATACATCACAAACTAGTTTAGCGGATGAACACGCATCTGCATGTAGCTTCTGTTCAAAGACCTGTCATCCACCAGTCCTGCTGCCATAGAGGAGCTGGGCTACTAGGAAGTTCTCAAATGGCACAACCAGCAGAGTTTCTCGCCCACTCAATGCTTCAAGAGGCTGCTTTTGACAAGCTGCCAGGTACACCACAAAAGCCACCTGTTCTACCAGGGTTTCAGGACACCTGATGGGCAGGAAAACTTGTTTACTTGAAGTGACTATTCTAAAATTGCCAGAACTTTGCTGTCTGATACAGGAATGCCCAGAAAACTCACCTAGTATTATTTAGATTGAATAAACATTCAGAAGCTTCCTGGGTGACGCTTGAGAATGAATTTGCAATAGTAAAGACAGGGGTAAACCAACTACAATTTCCGCAGCATTTCAGATTACTAAAGCTGGTGAGTGAGTACATGCCTTGGGAAGAATCACAGAATCATTAAGGTTGGAAAAGACCTCTAAGATCATCGAGTCCAACCATCAACCCAACAGCACCATGCCCACTAAACCATGTCCCTAAGTGCCTCATCTACCCGTCTTTT